TTTAATTCGATTTTCTAGAAAGATTTTGTGTATGCCGTTTTGTAGCTCACTCAATTATTATTATAATGAAGTGCAAGTTTCAAGTGTAGAAATTTTCATTTAAGTTTTATTACAAAGTTTTTGCGGTTTTCTTCCATATGAAAATAAATTATGTTTATTCGTTATATGTAAGCAAATGCGACAAACAAAATTCTAAAAAATCAACGATAATTTTTGGCCATTTGAAACTTTATTATACTAGAATTGAACTCTCCATTCCCCACGAAAACTGAAATTTCCCGCAAATCGGGGAATTCCCAACGAGTTGGCTTGCCTGCTCAGAAGAGATAAAAACCGATTAGAAGCGTAAAGCGTAGAGCGCAAAGTGATCCGCAAAACACAAAAGTATACACTAAAACGCGTTTGCAAGCGCCTGCGGCTACACTGTATTGTTTTTTTACTGCTTTTGTTGTTGCTTGACAATTTTGCTGCTGTAGCAAAAATAATCAGAAGTCACCAAGCTTTTTCATAACAACAATGAAAACGCGACTTTCTTGGCAAATATTTATGTGTGGGTGAGTGTGTGTATATGCGCGGCGTGTGACCACGTTTATCAGCCGTAGACAGACGTTAACGGGGATAGCGCGCTGCGGAGGCGGTGATGACGCGGCAGGCCGTCCGCACTACATAGCACTGGCGCGGGGTTCGTTCAGCGCTTTGATGAGCGTTAGTCAGTGCGTAATTATTTTAAATGATAACAGAAAAGTACACAAGTCCATACAAACATACATATGTACATATATATATATATATATATTAGTGTATGTTTACATATACTGGTATGTAAATATGCAGTTCTAATTTTAGGTCACGGCAGGCGTTAACAAAGCAGCGCCCGCTCGGTAGCTTAATGCGACGACAATGCGGTGGGAGCTCAGCCTAAAAAGCGGAACTAATATTTGCACGCCAGCGCAGTTGGGCGCCTTTATGTTGAGGTTTATGTCGTCTTTAGAATATTCTCAGGGAAAACAAAAATATTAGTGCGTCGATTTTTAACAGCCAATGGGCATTTGCCGCCTCGTGCTGCGCTTCCGGTTTGATTTTGCGATACAATCACGCGAATTATATACATATATGTATATGTACATATGTATGTATGTACATGTTTGGAACAGAAGAATGCATATGGTCATTGTTGTTTGGAAAGACCGTGCAGAGTTAGCATTGAAATCTTTCACGCGCTTTTGACGTGATTTTTATTTGCTTCTTTTTTATGTGGATTTCTTCTTATCAAAGTGTGTAAATATTTGAGTTTAGTTTACTTAAGTGTATATTAAGATGTATACGGATCACACTCCTCCATGGATTTTTAATTTAAATATTTATCTATATGTAAATAAAGGTAGATGTAGCTATATACCGATAAAAAGTTGATCAATGGAATGAGATGATTACATCTTATCGTTTTCACAATAGCTATTACAGTACAGGCTTAGGGTGCTGTTGAGCCTTACAACATGGGGGTTCCAGTGGGACAAAGGCCAGTTAAGACGCACAAAAGCATCGGTAGATGCGCTTTGTTATTTATGTTTAAGTATTCCTTAGATCAACTGTGATCTACCCACGGCCAGAGGACTTAGCCACCTTGCATTCTAAAGTTTTCGCGCAGCCCTCGTTGAGCTAACTAGACGCTCATCTTTCCATCACCAGATTAAATTTAATTTTTAACCAATTGGGCCCCACACTCTCTTTTCCCAAAAAGAAGCAGTTTCCTGCAATATCGATCTTTCATGGAACCGATATAAACTTGTGCTCTAAAACGGTCGAGAGGAACCCTTGGAAATTTCTTAGCATGACATCGAATATATGTATGTATATTAACATATGTACTACACCAGACGTTTAGCACTGGGTTAAACGCAGTATTGAATCCAATACGGGCTGCCCTTTTTAGTTTCTCCAACTTATTAACCATGGTGGCCTTACCTGATGAGTTCCACTACACAAGGAAACCATACTATATTATTATATATGACTATTTCTATACCAGATTAGCAAAAATTCAGGCTTGGAACCCAGGATCGTAGATCAACTCTGCTCATAAGAAGACAACAGCTACTAAAGCATTCTAAACGATCCTAAACCTTTCTCTGACAGAAGAATATGCAGAGAAGACTCTATGTAACATTAGGTGTCACACCCGCATAACGATCATTGCATAATTATAATTGATCTCACCCAGTTTCGAACATATCGGCGACATCCCTTCAACCCGCACTACCTACACTGCGCTCATGACCCGACTTCTCTCAAAAGAAAAAGTGGAGATTAGACAGAAATAAAAGCTTGTAAATAGCATTAATTAATTGTTGTGTTTGATAACAATACTAGCCATCACCAGCCAGCAATCCAAATCAAGAGCGTAAGCGAAAATCCACTTAAAAATAAAAGGAAAATTAAAGAAGTTAACGAACAAAAAATTAGCCATCACTTGCAAAAATAGGAAGAAGAAGACAAACCAGCCGACTGTGTTTTGTTTGTAGTCACAAACACTATCATAAAGTCATATAGCAGGCAGCCAAAAAGAATATATTATGTAAAATACCAACATTTGAAAAATTCAATTAGTTTTTTTTTACAAAAACTGCAACCATATGTTTTCAGATCATATACATACATATTTTCGTGTTGGGTAATTTTTGCGGGCTAAAATTTTCCCAGCAAAAAACTAGCGTTTGCTCTCAAAATTTTTTAGTGATGGATAAGTTTTTTGGCATCATCCAACCTACTTTCAAAAATTAGAAATGATTGTTACGAAGTTTTGTGTGAAAATGTGTCAAACTCGTTAGGCAGGTTGGTCCAATGCGCATTTAATAAGGTGGTGTTAGCCGTATAGAAGTAAAAAAATACACTAACAAATTATACGCACAATAACATTATGAATTACAATGAACACATTATTTTGACAATATGATTTCCGCGGAGAAAAATTCAAATAAAATTTTTAAATAATTACGTAAATCTTTTTGGTTACTGCATGTTTCAAAAGCCGCAACACTAGTACAGTGGATACGTTCTTTGACATAATGTCTAAATATTCCCTGCTAGACAGGCGTAAACCTACTATTATAAGCAAAAATTCATTGAAAATTGCCAAGAAAGATGACAAAAACCACTACGTCAAAGTGCCAAAACATTTTGGTCTTCACAAAAGATGAGCTCGAAATAAAATGTGTACAATTTCGCGAGGACTTTAAATTACTTCGCATACAAAATGACTTCTTGGGCTCTTATAAATGACACTAAAGTAAACTCTTGATAAAAATTGTAAAACCTAGTAACGGTAACTTGATGTCGAGAAACCACAACAGATAGTCGAAAAATTTATACTACTGGTAGGCAGGAATTTGGCGAATTCTTTCTAGATCCAGAGTACCCTTAAGATGTGGAGAGGTATCTTCCGAACACTCCAAAATCTCCAAAAAATACAATATTGTATATAATATGTATAGGGACGAAGATCACATCCCGCCCCTTGACTAAGACAACAAGAGAACAGCATAAAAGTTGTTTAAAACGAAAAAGGCACCTGGTGTCGACGGAACAGGGTAATGTGATCTAGTGATTATCGATTGTGTGAAACCTGACCCTTAACGAACCAAATAGTATGGCATTTTCAGTGCGATCAGTCAGATTAGAAAGCCAACTTCACCCTTTAAGACAGTAATTGGCTCCTTTACTAGAAAAAGAACGTGGTCAATGTCGTCTTAGATTTGACAAAGCAAAGAATTTACCACCTAGGAATAAAGCTAAGCCATAAAATCGTCTCCCTTTATTCTTGCTTCCAAGAAATGATATAAACCAGGAAGTCTTTATCTGGGGTGCGAGCTATCTGCAAGAGTCTAGACTCACTATGGCCAAAGGATGAGCACATGCACTTGCTACCACTAAACTTTCAGGGTAATTTAGGATTTTAGTAAAGTAACAATGAACCCGTTAGGTTGCAGTGCACACCTTGTTTGACTTCGACGGTCTTAAATTGTATGCTGGCAATATTATTTACCAACCAACCAACTCTCTAAAGCTAAGTGTACACGGTAGAGAAAAAACGCGAGATTTAGATAAAAATCTCGCTAGAGACGTGTAAACAATCAATAGAGCTCTACGAGAGACTCATCTACAAAGTCTATGTGAGAGTTATTTAGCGAGACTTTTTCGCCGTGTACACAGTCCAACGAAGCTAGATCGAAAACTCTACGACAACTCTGCTCTACGGAGACGTATGTTCAAGTCTTGACAATGAATTTCATTACAGATTGTTAAATTTTGAAATGGCTACGACATTAAATCGTATATTCGATAAAAGCACACAATTTTAAGTGCAATTAGAACATAGCCAAATAATGTACCGGGAATCATCCTCTTATTTTCATCGGTATTTCAATGGCTTTTCCAATAGCCTCCGTCCTTTGCAAAGGGGTATAATTATTGGTTAAAACATAAGGGTTATTCAGAAATTGAGCAGGTGGTCTGGCACTCGGGCAATAGTCGTTGCTTGAGTTATCTGCTGTTTTGTCAGAGTTCTAGGCCATTTGCTCAACTTGGTGAATACCTACATACATATATATATTAGTTTGGCTGGAACTGCTCGGATAAACTCCTTTCAAGGGAATTTTAAATATTAAAGGTTGTTTGATGCGAGTCCAAAAGTACACATAAATAGTACCGAAGAGAGAGGTTGCCATGTTTAATTTTTAGGTACATTTGTCTACTTTTAGGTAATTTTTTTTTTCGGCAAATAAGTACAATTTGAAAATTTAATTCTTGTTCATATTGCGAAAATGTATTTTATGACGTCAGAAAATAGGTGAATGCTGTCAAATCGACGAAGGGTTACAACAAATACAACACCAGAATTATGCGCTTGCGATTTGATTATATCTTTGATCTTATTGACCAACTTTTTCTCTTGCACTGCTTCAACTCATTCTTAAATGTAGCAGAAGAGTTCGTATACTTACGCAAAATTTCTCGATCCCGCATGCTTGGATTCCGCAATATCGTTGCGACCTTTTGTCGTCCATTACATTTCTTAGCCTTCAATGTGTCTTGACAGCTCTCTTTGGTACTCAGCTCTTCAATTATGGTATCGTCTTCTGAAACAACTGGCCGACATTTCGAAAAGTGTATTGTGTCCGAAGCGATGGTAGTATCTAAAATGCAAAGTAGTTTAGAAAAGTGTTAACACTTAACCAAAGAATGTCGTACCATCTTGCGGATTAATCGAATCCCACTGTGATGAGTCCCATGGCTCCGAAAAAACAGTGCCATCATCCGACTGCGCTGAATCGATGCCGTTGAAAAATGACTGACAGAAGGAATAAGTGCCGCCGACATTGTCGTACGACGAGAGTCGAGAACCTGTCTGACTGTCGAAGGACTTCTGGCTGCCATGATGTTCGCTTAACAGCTTTTGACCGATTTGGCCGTTTTGATGCTGCTGTAGATATGTTTGCTGTGGTGGCGTGGAGCAACGCACCAGCTCTGGCAGATTTAAATCGGGAAAACGCTTTGCAATTATTTGATGCACCGTCAGCGGCTTCTGCTTATTCTCTTTGTTGGCCTCGCGACCCAATGAGTTTTCCTTTTCCTGAGCGCCCGCAGGATGTTGACGCCACTGTTCCGCCGTATCGTAATCGCCATAGTTACTGCTGGCAGCATGTTCATTTGCGTCGTCATCATAATCATCATCCTCATCTTGCTTGCCCATAAACTCCCAACTGCTGTCGAGCTGCCATTGCTCAAAGCGTGCACGTGCACGTTTTGTGGGCTGCTGTTGCTGTGGCTGTGTTGAGGCCTGTTGCTCTGCCGGTTGTTGCTGTTTTTTCTTCAGCTCATCTAGACTGCCAGCGATTTTTTCGAATTCTTTGGGAATAAGCAGCGGGCATATAGGGGTGCGCGCAAAACCGCTTTTTGGCGGCTCTGAATGTCGATGGTTTGCGGGCAAGAGTGGACCACGTTGCGAACGTCGTAGTATGCTAGCCGTGGTAAGACCTGCTTCGCGCAAAGCGTCGGCAGGTTCGGCATAGAAGGGGCTGCCTTGCTTGCTACGTGAGGCAGGCGTGTCTGCTGTGGGTGTGGTGTCACCCTCGTTTGGTTCGCAAATTTTGAATTGCTCCTCAGAAAGGGATTGGCTCATGAGGCCGGGCAAGAGTAGGCCAGCGCGCGAACGAGGCAGGGCATCAGCCGAGAATTGTATGAGCTGTTGGGTGTCGCAAGAGGGGGCATCGGCAGTGGGTGTGGGCGAGGGTTCGCAATTGTGTGGCAGGCTGACCGAAGCAACGGAAGAGTTGGCAGGTGAAAGCAAGTTGGCGCTGAGGGAAGTGATTGTGGCTGTAAGAAAAGAGAAGAGGACATTAACTTTTATTTTTAACTGAACAGTGTATGTTGGAGTTACGTGTTTCTGCCAGCAGGTCCGGACGCTTACCCTGCGCGCCTTCCGCAGGCTTGAAGCTACTAAGCAAGCCGGTGCGTTCATTCGACTCCTGGGTCCATAAATCCTCATAGTCGCTAATTTTATCACCCAAAGCGCTGCGGCAGTATATCTGTGGACTTTCCAGTATATCGGACTCCTGATAGTGTTTGGACTCCTTGCGCGCCTTAGCTCGGCGCGATTTACTGCTACTGCTGCCTAAAACACTTGTGGGTGTGCCAGCCGAGCATGGTGAGAGAATCTTCCTTTGGCTGTGATTCGAGTCTTTGCTGCTCTGTGATTGCCAGCGGCTGCCATTTGAAGAACCCTGAGACGAGAGCGTATCCTTGCACTCGCCCTCGGGAGATAAGCGCTTCGAGAAAGTTTGGAAAGTCGCATTCGAGTTAAGCGCGCTTGAGGCGATCATATTGGTAGCTGTGGCTGGTGTGGTAACCTCGACAAATTGTGGTGAGTTATTGTTCTCCATAGAGAAAGTGACCGTTGTAGTTACGGTAAAGTTATTTGCTGAGTTCGATGCATGATCCGATGGCAGTGGACTGCTGGGCGTGAGTGGTTTGAAACAGCGCAATGGGGGTGCGGGCGGTTTGCGCAAGTCTAAGTTTAGAGTGTTTGGCGGCTTAGGACGCTGTGGCCGTATGCCATTGTCTGAGGCCTTTATGCCCTTTGTGGGCACCAGTACGAGATTATTTGACTTGAAAGTGCTGAGATTGCCGTTGGCAGATGTCGGCGTAGCATCGCACGCTAAACCTCCAATGCCATTGCGATGATTATTCATATCCACTGGTGACATGGTTAGCATCACCGAATCCACCGATTCGGGACTCATTAGCTGCAAGTGTGGAGCACCACTGGTGCTGAATGAACTCATGCTCGAGGTGGTGTCCGATGGTGTGCCCGCCTGGCTGAAAAGGCCACCCAGGTTATTGGTAGGGCTGAATACCTTTGCCGGTTGCGGTGCGCTCGAGTTGCTGCTGAAGACCGTTGTGCCCAGACCGCTGGTCTCAGTCAGAGAATTTGGTGATTTAGCATCGAGTAGCGTAGCCTCTGATTCATGTGGCTTGGGGCAAGACATCGGATACCGCCAAAACTCTTGACCCAGCAGCGCTAGCGAGGAGAGTTGTTGACGATTTTTGACTTCGCGCAAGGCGCGCGGCAGTATAAGTTGAACGGGCAGTTCGTCGCAGCACTGGGCATAGTGCGCAATGAGGGCGGGGATTGAATCGAATGTGAAACGTGAACTCTCGAGGCTCAAAATGCCATTGTTTGACTGGATTAAGTAGTGCTCAATGTAGGGACCTGTGTCTGGGGGAAGACGCACCGAAACGGCCATAGTGTTGATTTGGCTGGAGCCGCGCACAATAAAATTCTGTAAGAGAAAGGGAACAGAGATGAGATTAGGTACGAGATTAGAGATGCGATTAGATTTTGATTAAAATGGAAATAAAGAATTCTGTGAATAAAACTTAAAATGTAAACTGCTCAAGCCTTTCAGAGCTATAAGTCTATGAACAAAAGAGTTGCGGTTTGATTTGTGGATTGTGATCTATTGAGGACAAAATGATCATATTCTAAAGAGCTTTTTTCAAAATCGTTAATATTCTTAAGTAAAAACAAGACTTTTTAATTTTTAAATTTTTAAACTTTTTGTTTACTTCTTTTACAACTTTTTTAATTTTTGGTAAGTTTTTATTCTTTGTAATATCCAATTTGTACTTATAGTTTTTCGAATGTTTCCATTAATGTGTTTTCCAGTTTTAATTAAATTGTTGATAAAAATGATTTTTTAAAAGGTAAAAAATTTGATTTATTACATATCAAATTTAATAATAATTTTTTATTGGACATTTTTTCCAATTTTCTTCTTAGTTATTTTTCCTTAACTTTTTTACAGCTTTTGTTAAAAGTATTTTTCTACAAATTAATGGTAAAATTAAGTTCAGAATAAAAAAAATATAGAAAAACAAATTTTTATTTTTTATTCTAATGTACAAGTCGTGTCAAAAATATTAAAAATAATTTTTAGTTGTGATATGTTAAGATTTATTATAAGAAAACTAGGAACATATTTTAGTTTTTTTTTAATTTGGTTCAAACTTTATTCAGTAGCCCGTTTCTGTAATTTTTCTTTTTCTCTACCGATTATTTCTCTACTGGTAGAGAATATTCGTCATTCTCTACTACTCATTAGCAGTAGAGAACAGGGCGGCGAATTCATATCTCGATTCGCCTTGGTAGAGAATTGTTACAGAAAATAATATTTATTTACGTGATTATCAAAAGCAAAATAATCATATTTTTATTACAAATTTTTCAGCTTGTTTTTTAAGTAATACTTTTTACATAATTGATTTTTTCCAATTCTTTCCTTAATGGTTTTTAAACCGTTTCTAGTAAATCTTCGATTAATAAGAAATCAAAAAATCATAATAATAGATCACTTTCTAATATGTTTTTTTGTCTTTAAAATCATTTTGTATTTAAATTTTTTTCTTCAATTATTTTTATATTTTTTTCCAATTTTTAGTAAAACGAATTGTACGTTTAATTTGTTGGGATTTATCAAAGGTAAACTAATTATATTTTTATAACAAAGATATTTTTAAATCGTCATTTAGGGTTTTTGAAATAAGCTTTAATTTTACGTTGTTTTCAAATTTTTAACCGACTTCAAAATAAGAGCAGGTTATCATTTCGTCGAAATATTTTTTTTTTATGTACTATGCGGTAAACTTTGGAAGACTTGAACCGATTTCGATAACTATTTTAACGGTAATCCTGAATTGTTAAATGAGAATTAAAGTCGGTTGTCTTTTCTGCTTAAAAATTACTTGTTTCCTTTAATAATATTTAACACTATTGGTTAAAAGATTTGTTTAATTAATATTTTTTAATATTTGTCTTTAGGATGATGGCTTTGGCGACCTTTACTTGTTTTCAAAAGAAGCCAAATAATGTAATTTACAATAATATTTAATTATTTTTTTTACTTTTTTAAATACTCATTCTTTATATAATATTTTTCTAATCTTTTTTCCAACAGTTTTTTAAACCTTTTTGAAATTTGAATAAAAAATATTTTTATAAAATATAGAAAAACAAAGAGAAAAATTCAGGAAACTCTACACAATATCCTTCTTTCGTTTGCTCTTAAAAGAGCTCAGAGTTTTTGGGAGAAGTATCTGTCAAAGTATTTGACCTGAGCTTCAATTATTTAAATGTAGTTATTAAACGCTTCACATTACACCATTTATGTATATTTCGTATGCCCCTTTCCAGCTGTCACATATACAAACGCAACGCCCAGCACACAAATCACATCCGCCTAAAGCAGTACAGATTTAATGTTGCGTTAAAAATCTGCACATAAATTTCATATCATAATAGCAATGATAAATTGTCATCACTCAGTCGCGCGCATCCTTTGTACGCAGGCATTTACATTAGACATTCACACACTCTATGTATCTAGAAAAATAATTCCGACACTAACAACACTATGATTTAGCAACACCAGCTTGTCGCTTTTCTCGGCAAAACTTTTTTTTTGTCTTCCGGTCGAGACTTGTGCAAGAGCGCGCGCATTGTTCGTTCGTCTTATTTGGTGATACATGGCGTATGAGCAACGTTAAACTGAAGTGCTGCATAATGATGAAGGTTGAGTGTGAATAAAGTATGTAGTTTGCTGGTGTGAGTGAGTAAGTAAGGGCAAATCGAGTAGTAGTGTGAATGTGAAATGTGAAAATAGCATTGACGACGACAAAATTAACGCTTAAGTGCGTTTGTTACACTAAAGTGAGCATAATAAGCAGCAGCAGCAGGAGCAGCCGCAGGAACTGTTGTACACCCTTGGTGTGTATGCTTCTTCCCGCTGCCACCACCTGTTTATGAATTTCGCTGCAGAAGTATTCAAATAGAAATTCATGCAATTCATTTGTTGTTGCGAAACTTTGCAGACATTTCAAACGCATCAAAGGCACTCGACTAAGTAAGTGTGTTCTTGTCATATTTGTAATAGCCAGCATTTGTTTTAGTGTGCCTTGCATTCGAATTTGATTTTGTTTATTTTGAACGGGGCGTTAATCGTTTTCGCATTAACTACATAAAACAAATGGTCAGACATTACACGGGGACAGGTTTTCCAATGTTGGATGGTAGGCTAGGGTAGAGAGTTACAAAGCACAAGATTGTTAGGGGTGAAGTAAGAGCGAGAGATAATAAATACTGTGTAAGTAAGTATTAGGGAGCAATAGATGTTGAAAAGTGAAGCTAAGGAGAAAGGAACGACAATTTGTGGTAGAGGAAAATTTCTATTAAAGCATAGGTAAGAAGGTTAAAGTCCTTTTCTTTTAATTTTCATTTGGTAAATAAAAATGGAAGTCGGCGCAAAATTATAGGCAGGCCACTATAATTTGTGTAGGAAAATTAGCTGGCCTAGACGTCAACATACCTTGCCCTAAATATCAGTCACATAACAATGGCGGCGGAGAAAACGATTGATAGCCACAGCAATGTAGCTAATAAGTAATATCGTTAACTATTCTAACGAAACAATTTTAAATACAATTACGTGTACGATACCAATAACAATATCGATAAATATGTCTGAAATGATAATGCTGATGATTTAAGCATTCATAGAAAAAAGAAATACTAAATGCCTTTTATGATATCGATAAGGATACAAATATTGCATAAAAACAGCACAAACACCCTTTTAAAGGTTCGAATATCGAAAATATCGAAAACAAAACTATCGATACGTACATTTGGTTAACTCTGATGATATCGATGGCGGCGGTGATGAGAGAAGACCATAACGATAAAAACCGATCAAAATATCGATAAAATTCGAATAACGTCGATATTTACATATTGTTAACGCTGATGATATAGGCGTCCATAAAAATATAAAAACTAGATGCCTTAAGTAGTTTTTGTGAAAATTGCAGATAGAGGGTATTGAATATAAGCCTTCGATATATATATATAAGTAACTACGTATATGTACATATTGAACTACATATTGTACTATGTACACAGCCATATTGAAATCTCAAAGTAAAGTAAGCTTCAATAAATAAAACCAGCAAACGGAGTATTGCGCTTCATTGCCGCAAAACGAGCTATTTAATAGACTGCCAAAAACACATCCAGCAGTGGGAACTTTCAGCATGCAGTTCATAAATAGCATGAAAATATTGCTGTGACTAGTAACGAAGCTGCTACATTGGTGACACCCACCAAAAATACGGACACAAACTAAAATTTATATTATCATAACACAGACAGCGCCAGAAGAGGTAGTCGTTTGAAACGCTCGGCCACATTGCTGAAGCTCCAGCTCCAGCTTCACAAACGCAATTGCATATTATATTAAGTGTATGCTTGTTTATAAAAGCATAGAGGATGCTACATATTGCCTGTACATCCTTGTGTACTGTTCGCTACTTGGAAATATTGATAATATTTTCTTTTTTGACTACTCCTTTGGCATTGCATAGCAGACCAGACAGTGACCAAATGCAAGTGGAAAGCAGACGCTTTTAGCCGCAAGCTAGTAAATGTCGAATGAAGTGAAAAACGGAAAGTCCATAATAAAGTGGCGAAATAAACAGGGCATTGAATAGTTAGGAGGATAATGAGAGGTAAAGCTGTGGTGTTAGCTGTGACTGCGCCTCGGAGTGCTGCTCGTATTTTAAGCTTAAATGAAGTTCATGAGCTGTTTAAAATTGGTAAAAGTGTTTAGGTACATGGTACGTGTACATAAATTTTCAGTTGTCCTTCCAAAAATTTCAATAAGGTTAAAATTTAAAATTTGGAAAAAATAAATTTTTTTAAAAACTTTAAAAAATCCTTTAAAAAAGAAGTAATATTTTTGGAAAAACTGAAAAAATTTATTTACACCAAAAATAGTTGTTGAGGAAAAACACCTATAAATGTTTGTTCAAGTATTATTATAAAAAAAAACTATATTAATTACTTCAATATAAAGGTTAAAAGTATAAAGTAATGGAGCATTAACTCAAAATTTATTTTAAAAAAGTCGAATACTTTTGTTTGCCGAAAACACTTTTGCGCGATTCGGATTAGCGAGACCGTGGTCGTTCCGGATTACAAAGTAAATAATAGAATTTTTTTATTGGAATTAACGAAGTTCTGCTGTACTCTTTAATATTAAAACATTTTTGAATATGGTTTCCAGTTACGGCCAATTAACAAGAGAATTAGAAATTGCAAAAGTGTTTTTGTGAACACTCACTGTAAAAAAATGCCTTTAAAATTTCGATTATTTCTTAATAATTGCAATTAATTTTTTTTTTTTGGCTTGTGATAAATCATGTGATTAACCGATTATTTTATTTTTTT